CAAACTGTGGCTGGAGAAAATCACACATCCACCCTGTCTACGAGAGAGATGAGAAATAGATGGAGAAATAAAGAGTTCTGGTGGCTTTGCATCTGCAGTTTTGGTTGTTGATGTCCTACCTAGTTCCTGCCACTCCTGCTTTGACTCTATGAGCTCCCTCAGTGCACTTTCTGTGAGCCAATATATTTCCACTTGGCTTAGCTAAATTGTGAATTGAGTTTTTATTAAAATAATCTTGACTAATATACCCCTTTCATCCAAGACTGGTTTTGTATCCCTTCTTTGTGCCTTCAGTAACATCCCGTGTTTACCACTGTATCTTTGAAAAGAGTGATGTCTAATTTATCCATAATTACTTTAGCAGTGATCACACTGAATTGTGGCTGTTTATCTGTCTCTGTCACTAAACTGTAATCATCTTGACAGTTAGGACTTCAGTCTTGGATATAATAGTTTCTTAGTCTATGTGAGATGAATGAATGAATGATCAAATGAACAAATGAAGTGTGACCTAAGATCATGGGCTTTGGTATCAAAAAGATCTAGATTTGAATCCTGGCTCCATCACTTATTCTCTGGGTGACATGAGACAATTTGCTTAACCTCTCTGAACCTTGGGTTTCTTTGTTACCTGTAATCTATAAAATGTGGATAATAATGCCTACCCTTCAAGAATCTCATTAGAATTAAGTGAGAAATGTACAAATGCCTAGTACCTAGAAGAGCTCTGTAAATGGTAACTTTAATAGAGAGGGTAACATGGAAAGACTTAAAGATAAGTGGAGAGGACTCATTGGTCACCACTAGGGAAAGCATTGGTCACCTTGGATCTCTGGGAAGGGAATATATGGGATACTTTTAGGAACAAAGGTAGCTAGAAAAAAATGATTGAACAAAGAAAACAACCACGGCAGAGAAGAACCAAAGTGGTTGCTAAACTAAGTTATTTGAGCACAGTGATCATATCTATTTTATTAATATATTCTTAGCATCTAGCATTGCAAATAACCTTGCAAATGTTTATCGAATAAATGAATGAATATTGATTAGGATCTTGTCAGATTCTTAGCCTTGATAATCTATAGATGTAATGTTATTTAAAATAATGTAAGCATAAATGTAATAGAAACATGTATATTAAAATATATTTAGCAAAAAAGAAATATACGCTTTTTTAAATGTGGAAAATTTAGTTGGACATGGTGACACACACCTGTAGTTCTGACTGCTCAGGAGGCTGAGGCAGGACAGTTGCTTAAGCCCAGGAATTCAAGACTGCAGTGAGTTATGATGACACTACCTGAGAGCACAGGATCTCAGCTTGGGCAACAGAGTGAGATCCTGATTCTTTTTTTTTTTTTAATTGCATTTTAGGTTTTGGGGTACATGTGAAGAACATGCAAGATTGTTGCATAGGTACACATATGGCAGTATGATTTGCTACATTCCTCCCCCTCACCTATATCTGGCATTTCTCCCCATGCCACCCCCCCAACTCCCCATCCTCCACTGTCTCTCCCCTATTTTCCTCCAACAGACTCCAGTGTGTAGTGTTCCCTTCCCTGTGTCCATGTGGATCCTGACTCTTAAAAAAACAAATGTGAGGCGGGGCGCGGTGGCTCAAGCCTGTAATCCCAGCACTTTGGGAGGCTGAGGTGGGCGGATCAGGAGGTCAGGAGATCAAGACCATCCTGACCAATATGGTGAAACCCTGTCTCCATTACAAATGCAGAAGTTAGGCGGGTGTGGTGGCACATGCCTGTAATGCCAGCTACTTGGGAGGCTGAGGCAGGAGAGTCACTTGAACCCAGGAAGCGGAGGTTGTGGTGAGCCAGGATTGTGCCTCTGCACCCAGTCTAGTGACAGAGGGAGACTCCATCTCAAAAACAAACAACAACAACAACAAAAATGTGGACCAGGCATTGTAGCTCAAGCCTGTAATCCAAGCACTTTGGGAGGCCATGTTGGGCAGATCGCCTGAGGTCAGGAGTTCGAGACCAGCCTGGCCAACATGGTAAAACCCCGACTCTACTAAAAATTAAAAAAAGTAGCCGGGTGTGGTGGTGCATGCCTGTAATCCCAGCTACTTGGGAGGCTGAGGCAGGAGAATCGCTTGAACCCAGGAGGGGGAGGTTGCAGTGAGTCAAGATTGCACCTTTGCACTTCAGCTTGTGCAATAAGAGCGAAACTCCATCTCAAAAACAACAAACCACAACAACAACAAAAATAAATGTGTATGTGTCTTTTTTGAGTATTTTTCCTGAATTCTTTTCCTCTTCTTAGGACATGTATTTTGTGAATTCACTTTACAATATCAGACAACCATTTAATCAACAAAATTTTCAATGTTTGTAAGACCCTTTTATTTAAGAGGACCCTTCTAATTTTCTAGTCATGTGTCTTGAAAAATGACTAAACAAGCTCCATGAAGCTTGAAATTTAAGGAAAAGCACAGAATAAAAATGTGAAAAAAATTACAAGTAAGTTTAATTCACATTTTTAAAGACTTTGGAACTCACTTTTACAAAACTTCAATACCCTATTGTTAAAGTGGTTGTTAAAATTTCAGTTTAGGAAATTTCCCTGTCCTCAATCTTGCTTTCCTTATATAGACAAGAAATTCAGGACTTGAATCACGAGACCTTGATCTTTGACAGTGAGGGAAAAACCTGAAACTCTTCTTTCAGATTTGTTTTGCTTCCAGTAAAATATGAAGCATTTAAAAATTCATCCCATCTCTATAATGACATCCAGGGTTTTTCCTTATTATCATGACTTGGGAGATAATAAGTCTGACCAACAGAAATTGTGTCCACAGGAATAGTCAGCTCTTTTCCCTACCCTTAATTTTCACAGGATAGAAATTATCTGAATTTTAAGTTTTGTATTTTGCCTTTTCCAGTTATCTTTCTAACATAAAACTTTTTCATGCCATTAAAACATCCCTATAAATGTAATAATGTTTAGTGGCTACACAAGACTTTTTATGAATATATCATAATTTTTGTAACCATTCCCTTTTTTTTTTTTAACATTTGGGTTTTCAACTTTCATTTGTGACAAACCACCCTACAATGAAAAGCTTTGAGCAAAATGTTTTCTTTCAAATTATTTCCTAAGCAAAGATCTCCCCAGAAAAATTACTAATTCAAAAGGCATAAAAATATCTTAAGTTCTCAGTACCTACTGTCAACTGACTGTCACCAACAGTTTAAGAGAGTACCTATTTCAATATGCTTTTCCAGTCCTGGCTAGTCTTAACAGAAAATTTTTTGACTAATTTGGTATGTGAAATTGTATCTAATTTTAACTTGTATTTATTGGATCACTGTAGAGGTTAAATTCTTGGCCATTTTTGTTTGTGAATTTATTTTTCTCTTAAGATGTTAATGTTTTGTTGATATGTATAAAATCTTTATTATAATAAAGTGTAGTGTCTAGGCTGGGCGTGGTGGCTCATGCCTATAATCTCAGCACTTTGGGAGCCTGAGGCAGGTGGCTCATCTGAGGTCAGGAGTTCAAGACCAGCCTGGCCAACAGGGTGAAACTTCATCTCTACTAAAAATACAAAAATTAGCCGGGTGTGGTGGTATGTACCTGTATCCCAGCTACTTGAGAGGCTGAGGCAGGAGAATTGCTTGAGCCTGAGAGGTGGAGGTTGCAGTGAACTGAGATTGCACCACTGCATTCCAGCCTGGGTAATGGAGGGAGACTCCATCTCAAAAAAAAAAAAAAAAAAAAAAAAAAAAAGTGTCTGTCATATTACGGATATTTTTCTCAATTTAATTTTTACCTTCAACGTCCACTTAATACATATTTATCTGAATCTCCCCCATGTGCCAGGCACTAGTCTAATCATCAAGGATGAAGTAGACACAGTCCCTGCCTTAAGGATCTCACAGCCTAACAGAGGGAAGCTGGTGGATAAACAGTGATTGCAAGAAAGCTTTCACATCCTCCACCAGAAGTACAAAGAGGCTATAGTGGATGCACTAAAAGATGTGAGTGACCCATTCTACATGTAGGGGCCAGGAAAAGGCTTCAGAGATGATTCTTAATTAAGAACAAAAAGCTTTACTAGATTGACAAGGGACAAAGTAGAAAAAGGCATTCTAACACCTAAAGATAGGGCCAGAGAGCTGGTTAGTGGATTTGGGTTTGACTGAGGAGTAAAATGTCAGGACAATCCAGTGGACGAAGGGCCTGGAGAGACCTCAGAAGTCACATAATTCTAAAAATTATACATAAATTTATTTTTTAAATGAAGTCTAATTGAGTAAGCTTTCCTTTTCTGATCTTACGTAATGTTTAAAATCCTTCCTAGCCCCAGAGATTTGATGTTTACCTTCATTTTCTTGTAGTTTCTGTTCACATTTAACTAATCCATCAGGAGTTGACTTTGGCGTATAATGGTAAGCCTCATTTGGATCTTAGGTTTTCTGTTTTAAAGTTTATATGGTTCACTAAACTGCTTTCTGTAGCCTTATTTTGCTAATGGCTAAAAATAGGGGGTGCTAAACATCTAATAAAGAATATATCTATGCCCAGGTGGGGACATGCTAAGGAAAACAAGAGAAATTTCACAGGAGTTTGCTATTTTAATACTTAAACACCAAAATGGAGGTGTGCCAAACACTGCGGGTGCAGACATGTAGCCTTTTAGGATCCTGGCTCTCAGAATACTACTAGTAGTTTGTATTCATAGACTGGAAACTTTTGAGGACTCAACCGTGTTTCCACAAACTCATTTATTTACATGATAACTGAAGAGGAGAGAGGAGGCATTTATCATTGCCTGCTTCATTTGTTTACTACTACCAGAAATCAGGTGGAGTCAGGTTTCCCGTGATGCTGGCTGGAGATTGGGTGGGGTTGGCATCTCTGTGCTGGACAGGCCAGACACTGAGACAGTTGACAACTGAGAGCTGTGATTGGTTAGCAAGGCAGAAGTAACCCGACCACATCGGCTCTGGACTCCCTCCGATTTGCCTGCCGTTACTGGGTGACATGCTGAAGACCTGCCCACCAATCACAGGGCTCCTTACTGGAAGAGCCCGCTGCGGGGGTGTGCCGAGAGTCGCCAGCAACGCCCTGCAGCCTTTGAAATCGGAGGGGAAAAGACTGCAGTCAGCTCTTCGCTGGAGGAGGGCACCTATGCCCCGGAGAGAGCAGGCTCCCAGGATGGACACGCCGCGCCCTGAAGAATCGTTAGAGAAGCAAAATGAAAATCCGAACAACCAGGACGAGGAGATGGAGTTTAAGGAAATGGACGGTCTGAGAGAAGCCTTGGCGAACCTCCGGGGACTGTCGGAGGAGGAGAGGAGCGAGAAGGCGATGCTTCGCTCCCGCATTGAAGAGCAGTCCCAGCTCATCTGCATCCTGAAGCGGAGGTCAGATGAGGCCCTGGAGCGCTGCGAGATCCTAGAGCTGCTCAATGCAGAGCTGGAGCAGAAAAGGATGCAGGAGGCTGAGAAGTTCAAGGCCCAGGGTGAGTACATTCGGAAGCTAGAGGAACGCTTTAGGACCCTAGCAGCCAACCACGAGTTGATGATCCGCTTCAAGGATGAACACAAGAGTCAGAACATCAAGCTGAGGCAGGAGAATGAGAAGCTGAGGCTGGAGAATAACAGCCTGTTCAGCCAGGCTCTGAAGGATGAGCAGGCCCAAGTATTGCAGCTCACCATCCGGTGTGAGGCCCTCACTGGGGAGCTGAAGACGCTGAAGGAGAGGTGTGCTCAAGATGCCTGCCAAGCACAGGCCCGCGAGAAGGAGCTGCTGGCGCTACAGAGCCAGCAGGCCTGCACCCACACCAAGGAGACAGAACAGCTGCGCAGCCAGCTGCAGAGCCTCAGGCAGCAGCACCAGCAGGCTGTGGAGCAGATGGTGAAGGCGGAGGAGACACACAGCAGCCTGAGCCAGGAGCTGCAGGCCAGGCTGCAGACCGTCACTAGAGAGAAAGAGGAGCTGCTGCAGCTGTCCATGGAAAGGGGTAAAGCGCTTCAGAATAAACAGGCAGAGATCCGCGTGCTTGAAGAGAAGTTGGAGATAGCAAATGAGGCCAGGAGGCAAGCACTGGAGCGGTTTGAGCAGGAGGCAGTGGCTGTGGACAGCAACTTGAGAGTCAGAGAGCTTCAGCGCAAAGTAGATGGGATCCAGAAGGCCTATGATGAACTCAGGCTGCAGTCTGAAGCCTTCAAAAAGCACAGCCTGGATCTTTTAAGCAAGGAGAGAGAACTCAACACCAAACTCCGCCATCTCTTTCCATAATGAAGTTCCTGCTTCCTCTGGCTTCCAATTCAGAATTCAAATATTTGTGTCTTAGCATTACAGCAAGAGTAAAGTTGATATCCCATTTATTATACTTTAAAGCACAAAAGGCAACTCAAGGAAAAGCTACTTTACTGTGATATTGTTGTTTTTATTGTAAAGCTGTTATTTTTCAGTTCTGCCACCTAGAATACACAAGATTTGCCAGATTTCCTTCTGTGCCATAGAAATCTCCCTGAATTTACTAGTGGTATTTTCTCCTACCCCATAACTTACTCATTCTCAACCTTAGATATCTTCATATATGTTAGGATTTTAAATTAGCAGCTTCTGTGATTTAAGCCAATCTAAATGCAGTGAGATGTGCCATTGTGAAAAATAATTAGTACAATTACCCATTGTAGATAGTTAGGCTTATAGTCTCCCATAGTTGAGATTGTAAGCAAACAGGTATCATCATAATAGTGGGAATACTTTGTAGACAAAAAAGGTGTCTGACTTTATTTTGCACTAGCTTGGAAAATGACTGAGATCTTTAACAAAGTAGGTCAATTTTATTCTATATGAGCAGTATGATTCAAATAAGTTACATAAAACAATTTTTATTTTTTCTGCAAGCTTAGATAATATTCCCTTTTTTGGTTTTCTCTTTAAAAAGAGGATTTGTATGTACAATAATGCAAATATCAGTAGCTTAATTTAATATTGCACAATATGCTAATAGATAATTAGACAATTGGGGGTAATAAATCATAGCAGACAATATGATCTATTATAGTAACTCAGAAATTGTTTTCTGTTTCTATTAGCATGTTTTTTTGTAATTAAATTTTTCTTTTTTAAAAAAGTCTAAGCTGAATGTGTATATGTATGCTTGCAGCATTTTTGTAGTAATACCTACATTTTGTAAGAGTAGTTATAAAAACATGACAGGTATATATATATATATATATATATATATATATATATATATCTCCATGTAAAGTTCTTAAAGAAGTTCTCAAAGGTAGTTATATTTTATTTCTTTACTTAGTTATTGATAAACATTATTATGAATACCTCTCAAAATAGATTTTATTTTTCTCACCCATTTTGGTGAAGGCTACCAAGTTACATAATGAATTTAATTAAAAAATATGTCTTGGTACCTTTTTAATAAAACCATTTCCAAGCAAGTGTTACCTTAGGTAATTTTTTACACCTCTTTTTTTCACACTTGTATTAAGATTGTTATTAAATACAAATTTTTCTCGTCAAAATAGAAACCACACTTCCGACTTCCAAGGACTCTTTACTTCCTTCTACAGGTTACCAGGAATCAGAATATAGGAGCTAAGTTAATCATGGTTATCCTTTGTTGAGCCCATACTATTTATCATTGTGTTGAAGCAATTTGTATGAATTACTTTATTTAATCCTTAGGGCTATTCAAGAAGGAAAGTGTGTTCATTTCTATTTTAAGGAAGAGGAAACTGATTTCGGTAATTTTGCTTAAGGCCACTTGGTCACTGGGGGAGCTGGGATTTTGATGACTACACCACACTGAAAGATAATTTTTGGTGACTGAGTGCCAGGTGCTGGGGTAGGTACTAAGAAGAAGTATAAAGAAAGAAGCATGTTTACTGCCCTGAAAGAGCCCCCACACAGTCTAGGGGCAAAAATAATAATTACATATACTGTGATGTGTTTTCATAGGGGATGTTAGGAGGTCACAGGGGAAAGACGTAGGCAGCATCTTCCCCCTGCGTGGTGATAAGGGTTGGGTTGGCGGGGAGGACTCCTAGGGATGATTAATTTATTCAGGTGGAGACAAGGGAGAAGGGGTTGAGACAGCATCGTGTAGACAGCATGCAGGTATTTTTAAATGCCCAGAATACTTGGGGGAATCATAGCAGTTGGCAAGAGGTGCCGAGAAGCATGTGTACAGATAAAACTGTAAAGAGTAGGTTGGGGGCCGTAATATAGGGGACTTTGAAAGCCAGGCTGGCCCGTTATAAAAGAGAGAGAGAGGGAGGGGGCGAGAGGAGGGGCACACGAACGCATGGAAGGAAGCCGTGGAGCCCGCCCGCCTCCCCCCACCGAGGCCCGTGGGCCTCGTGCGCAGGCGTGCCGGCCCCGCCCCTCTCTACCGCTGGTCCCTCCCGCAACCTGCAGGGTCAAATATCCGCCCACCTACCCCCAAACTGCAGCTGCGTGGTAGTTCTGGGGGCCCAAGGTTTGCGCACAGCCTGCGGGGAGAAGTGCCCTGAGCAGAGGCCGAGCGGTTGTGGAAGCGGGCTGAGGGCCGTTTGGGTATGAATCTCGGAATTCCGGGTACTGGAGTGTGGCCTAGAAGGGGAGTGTGCTCCAGGGACTCCATGTCAGGTGGGGGAAGAGCGCGTCTGAACATCGCGTGGGGGAGTAGGGCGGGGTAGGGGCGCGTGTTCTCTATAACTCGGGGGCAGGGAATGAGCCCAGTTGCCCTGGTCTGAGGTCGATGTGGTTCCAAGCTGTGCTAAGGAGTTGGTAAACATTTGATTGTTTGCCGTTTTGTAGATCCTAAGTGGTCAGATTTGGATCATTTTATAAGGTTCACCCTAATACTCTTTTGAAAAATTTTGAAAGTGGGAAATGAGAATAGAATGTCAAAGATAGATGCCTCTGGAGAACAACCGAAAAAAGAGCCCACTTCCTAGACTAAGAGGAATGTGCACCTATCATGTGTCAGGTGCTTTTCATTCCACCCTCATAACTCCCAAGGGAGGTTCAATTAACACACTTTTACATATAAAAAGGGAAGACTCAAAGAGGGTGACTTGTCCCAAGCCAGGAAGCTTTGGGGGGGCACGAGTGAGATTTGAACCTAAAAGGCCCTGGGTATGCCGCCGCCCCCACACCTGGTTTAATGCTCACTGTTGCTGTCGCGAAATTTTTACTGATTTTTTTAACAAGCGGCCTCACATTTTAATTTTTGTTCTGGGTACTACGAAGGAAATAGTTGGACCTGTTTTCTGGCTCTAAAACCCTTGCTTTCTCCCAGTATACAAACTACTTTCTTAAGAGCCTTAAAAACGCATTGTTTTCTTCGTCTGTGCTCCATGGTACTTTGTATTCCACTCTGTCAGTCTTCATATTTAATCTGTGAACCAGAGCCACATCAGGAGATAAGCAACCAGGTTATTATGTTATACTGCCCTATTTAAAGTTATGCTTATCACTGAAACAAACTGACCAAATGTATATCGGCCCCGTCCAAACTATTGCCTTTGAGGGGAAATTTAAACAACATTCTTTTCTAAAGCAGATCTAGATCTATATCCTTGCTGAATTTTTCTGCAACATCCCTGAGCAGTAGCTCTCAAATGAAAGCAGAACAGAGATCCTAAAAGCAATAATGGATGAGTAGTGCTGTGTAGCTGATAGTTGTGACCTTTTGTGTTAGCTAAACTGTGAGTTCTTCAGTGTGCCCTAAGGAACTTGTCTGGTTCCAAAAAATTAATAAAAGAGAGCTTCAAAAGAGGAGAGTTAAAGGAAAAGTGAACTGACTGGTATTTTCAGAATACTGCCTTTGCTTCAGTTAGATAAAATGAGTTCAAGGTAGTTTGTTTCTAGTAAACAAAGTATTAATAGAAAATCTGTGTCAGCCTGACTCCAATATATTAAACAATTATTTTTAAAAAGTCGGTTGAAGGAGTACCTGCTCAGGTGCCTGCTGTTCTACTCAGCCCTCGTTTTCCCAGATACCCGTGAGGTAGCTGTGGCTGGGTCAGGTCAGGGGTGATTCTGCCTTCCACTATGACAAGACCAACAGAGCTGGGGCAGACTTGAGATACCACGTCTTAGCCCACCAAGAAACGAGGACAGTGACTCTTAACTGCCCCTAAAAGCCTACCCTCCCTCTCCAGACAGCTTGTCTGCTAGTGTTATTGGCCAAAATTGGGTCATATGCAAATACCTCAGCCCAGCATTCATAGGGCATGTTGCCAGCATGTTTGATTTAGACCAATCAGGATCCACCCTGAGATGGGAATGAGGCCAGTCTGTGCTTCATAGTAGAAGAGACTACCTGGCAAAGGCAGGGCTCTGCCAGCAGGAATGAAGGAGGCTGGATGTTGGATGGACCATCAGCATTGCCTTCTGTGCTACATCTATTTAGACTGCCAGAGCCTTATCAGGCAGAAAGCCTTTTTAAATCTTTAATCACAAGTCTTGGCCTCTTTTAAAAAAAAGTGACTGGAATTTAGGGAAGTGGCTGAGAATAAACTTTTGGATGTTAACAAATTGGATGTGACTTTCTGAACACTAAAAACATCTTATTAAACTTAGGGGTGCCTGGAGCTGTACAGATGAGTCTCCCTACTTGATGCTGTTCTCTCTAAAACCTTCTGTTTATTGCATCTGGGAAAAATGAATCCAGGAAAAAACTTGTTCTTTTACAGAGCTGTCTGGTCATTCATTACACATTCAACTGACTACAATGCCTTCACAACACCCTTACTGCCCAGTCCCACAAAGGGACTCCTGCTTTAGCTACTTGCCAGATAGTCCCCACTCGATGCTCTAATCCACTCTTATTTGTACTAGTCTGAAGTAGTCTTCTTTTTCATGTTTGAAGTCATTTATTACATCATTGTTACAGCAGAAGATTGGAAATAGCTTACATACCATCGGTAGGGAACAGGTTTATAAACTCTGGGTCCTTCACGCTTTGGAACACAATGTAACTGTAAAACAAAAGGAAAAGGAAGCTGTTAATGTACTGATAAAGAACTATCTCCAGGACATATGCAGAAAAAAAGCTATAGAACAATATCCATATTATAGTATATTCTCTATAAGGGGGAGAGGAGGAAGAGGGGTATTAGCATGCAAACATTTATTTCTGTCAGCATAAATAAATATTGGAAAAAAGTTGTTATTGGTGTGGAAGGATATAGAGAATGAGGTGATCAGGAATAGGAATGGGAAAGAAACTTCTTAATGTATACCATTTTATATAATTGGACTTTTGAACTATGTGAATATATTACTTATTAAAAAGATAGTAAAATTGGAAACAAAAATAAAAGATCTTCCACATATCTGTTTAACTTCCCAATAAGCTATATTTTTGTTTAGGTGATTCAAAAGTGCACATTTTCCCTTCCGCAAGAACTGGGTAGGCACAGCATATTTTAGATAAAGCCAAATATGGCCTGACAGATCTGGGTCAGAACATTCAGCTGGAAGC